TCCTTCCTCCAGCTATTACGTTGTTTAGGAAGTCTGTGAGCAATTTTTGCAAGGCAGGTTTGTGCCTCGGCAGGGATCGAACTCGTGGCTCAGAGTGAGATTATGAGTCTACACTCTTAACCACTCGGCTATCCCTGCCTCATCAGCCGGCCTGTCAACCTGGGCCTGACGCTGGTATCGTCCCCATTTTTGCAATTTTTGCAAGGCAGGTTTGTGCCTCGGCAGGGATCGAACTCGTGGCTCAGAGTGAGATTATGAGTCTACACTCTTAACCACTCGGCTATCCCTGCCTCATGATCTGGTCATAAATAATATCTATTAACACATTGCGGACCGCCGTACATCGCGCTTGTCCCAATTATTTCATTATTTTTCATCAAAAACCGATCAGTATTTCTCTCCCCCTTTTCAATCGCTCAAGAGGAAGGAAATGTTAATAACAGAAAACGTGTTTTCGCAACAACAGAACATGATAGAAAAGTCAGAATAGTTGAACAAAACGCCACATAGGGACAAATGCATGACACACCATGTCTGTCACGCGGTCCGGAACGTGTTAAATCTAGCGCTATTAATGTGTAACATTGCCATTATGTGTCGTTTGGTCCTAGGGATACTACAGCCCCAGGGCAAACATCGCCTCTGCTCTGTTACGCCCTTCGGCTATATGTGGACAGGGGGTCAGGCGCAGGATTCCTAAAAAACACCCATTGGAATGCTGACGGAAAACATTGTTTTCATCGGAAAGATAGGCTCAGATAATGAGGGCAATGGAGTCGATTCACAATTACGAAGCTTTGGGTACCACGTACGATGTAGTATCCTTACTGGTGTACTCCTCTGTTGAAACCGCTGTTGCGGCATTCTTCAGTGAGGCCAGATGGAGTAGTATCACCCAGTTACAGATTTTTTTTAACGATCCTTGGGAATTGTGGCCCACTCTAGCGTTTCCGCCGCAATGTTCCTTGATTTCCCAATTCCAGTTCGCATGGTGTCCACATATTGTGCTCACTAGACAGCAGTTAAGCGCATTCATAATCAAGAGTGTCTGTGCGAACAAATCTTCGAAACACGGTGTTTGGTAGTCTATTCATGGAGCAGTAAAGGTCAAGGTGTTCTTCATGCTCTTCGACCACTGAGTGCCTTCTTTTATTATACCATTAACATAAACACATTAAGCAGAAAAAACACTTATATAAAACTCTCCTGTGCCTTCATCATAAAACAACATTGTTGTCTCAGAAACCATTTAACGGCATGTCTAACAATACTAGTGCTAATTAACTGGCGAATTAGTGAAAGGTTAGGTGGTTCCCACTTAAGTCCATTGATCCATTGGACGCGGTTACACTCATACAATCAAATGGAATGAAATCGTGGAATTTTATACGCAGAGAGAAGCTAGATAGCTACAGTCGAACTGGGTACGGTGCATCTTCGTGTCCAAGAAAGCGCCTACTTCTTCTAGATATCCTACGTGTTTCATGAACAAGGCCTCCATTTTGCTCTGCAAAAAAAGTGATTATTGAACAATAATTCGATGGAGAAAGGTGGTTGCCATACTGAACAACTTTTTTTAAAGCAATTGTCAACCTTTCCATGTCATCCTTTAAATTCCTTTCTACCACGGCTCGGGGAGTTTTCAGCCCATTTAGGCAGATCCCAGAATCACAAGTGGTGGATAAAAAATAAAAAAAACGTCGGTACGTCATATGTTAGTATACAATTAGTGCACTCGCACGGAAACGAGCGAGTACGAATCCCGCCTAGGGTCAAGAATTCCGTAAATCAACATTAACGTGGTAGCTTTCGGAGCGTACTGCTGTTGCAGTGGTCCATTTCAAAATAAAAACAATATAATTGTGATGGATGACTTCTGCAAAATATAATATTTTGCAGCATGGGAGGCCTAACATATAAAACATGGAAAAGCAAGGAACCGATGCGCTGCATTTCGTGAGCCGCTGCTGAAATTTCATCGCTCCCAAGAATTACCTCGGGGATTTTCGTACTGTTGTTTGCACAATGAAAGAAAAGAAAGAATGCCAAGAAACAGAATGATCTCACCTTGAACCGATTAGAACAAATTATATCCTTCAGGTATTCCAACATGTCTTCCTCATGTGCGGATTGGGCTTCAACATAGCTTTTCGCACCATTCACCTAAAACGAGCAAATGGTATCACTGACACAAAAAAAATGTGGGAAGTGGCTGCGAGTAGTTGAGAAAATTAAAAGACAGCATGGGGAAGGGCTCGTAATAGAGGAACAGGGGGGAACGTTTTGGTGTTTAGCTCCCTTTCTTGTCTATGCCCACTCGTCTACATATCCGTTCAATATCCCCTATGACCGGGTTGAAGGAGCGGTCTCACGTTACAATCTCCTGCTGTCAATGACCGGTCTTGATCTGCGCGTCTAAGTTGGATTGCTCGTCCGGAACACTGGACAGTTGAATTTCTATAGTTAACAGCCAATATAAAGCGTAAATGCTGACTTCTTTACTTGTGGTTTCCAACCAGTACCAGCCCCTACAACGATCGGTCAATAAAGTCAGTGAACCAGTGATCTGGGGGTAGTCTAAGATGGAAAAGGCGTCGAATGGCATACCATGATAAATCAGCTGCACTGCGATCGCGCCATACGACATAAATCCACTGTAACACTCGGAGAATCCACAACAGTAAGGAGCTCACCCACCACAGAACGCCCTCCACTAGAGAAGTCCTTTGAGAATGTCTAGCAGGTTGAAGTCGTAGGAACGTGTTCTTGCTTTGCGACACAGAGACATGAGACATGCACCAAAAGTTAGAGGTAAAAATGTGGGGTGAAGTGCATAAGGAATTGACCTGGCGAGACAGGAGAATAGGAGAATAGGCGACAGAAGGAAAATAGAATAATCTGCCTCCGAGGGAAGCTTAGATATCGATCAAACTGGAGGGTTAGGAGAGTAGAAGAGTGTACGTCAGAAAGAAGCATAGGTATCGATCTGGCGAATTGAGAGGATAAAAGAATAAATCTATTCCCATCTAGTGCCCTGGCATGCTTCACTCATAGTCTCCATTGCGACAAAGTATGAAGTGCCTAGCAGGGAACAGTTCACCTACCTACTGTGGGTTCTTACACTACTGCGTACTGATTATGCTAAGTCGAGGAGAAAAGACTCACTTTTTAACTTCTCTAACTTCGATTACATCGCACAAAACTCGTACTCGAATAGAATACCTCCACGGCTATGTTCACCTTCTGCCAATGCTTTTTCTAAACAAACCGGTACTCTAAAGGGACAAGCAAAACCGATTTTTTTTTATTATATGAGCACCTCAACTTACCAAAAAAGTGACTGAATATTGATAAGTTATCGTATATGTACCAAAGATCCCATGTATTCTCGTCGGAACCACCTTGATAGAATAGCGATAAATATCGTGACCTGCAATAATTATAGGGTTCTTGTATATCTGAGAAAGCAAAGCATTTAAATGAGATACAAGAACTTGCCACTTTTTGTGATTTGCTCAGCTCCAGCAAGAGGGGCGACGAGACCTCTATTTCTCGGGCCGAAAAGCTTTTCAATCCGATGTGAAATATTAGCTAAAATATGCTGAGCTAAAATAAATTAAAAATGTATATGATCGCAAAAATCAATTTAGTACGACAATAAACAAAAGGAATAGCTTCCTAATAACCCATTAGTTTTATTTCAAAAAGAACTGATGTACTTACCTGACGTGGATTCAGCACAAGGTTGATCTAATGAAATGGATGATGGATCTTCAGCAGACGATCCTTCGCACGCATTAGACATTTTTATAGCTTCTTTAGAAATATGACACAGAACGCTCTCAACTCGCACAAGAAGAGCACATGAATCTACAACGACACAGCAGTGAGATACCATTCTCTCTCTGACTGACAGAGGTTAACGCGTCATAAAAAAGTAGACCTAAGCGTCATAAAGAAGTAGATTTGCGAATAAATTTGGCGGATGAGCGGGAACGAGTATTTCACTATCAAACGAAGGGCAGTCGAGGAGCAGGAGATAATTTAATATCGCTAAAGTATGCCCAACTCTCAGAGAATGAGGTAAATATCGGTAAAATCCCCTAGCAAACAACAGCAAACATCATCAAAATGAGATGGCGAGTCCTTTAACAATTTGAAGGAGCCGCCACGCAACAGAACTCGTACGCGGCGGCCGCCACGCCGCTCGCTCCGCCCACCGGCGCGGCGACCCACTTATTGTCGACGATTGAATCGACACACACCCACATTTTAGGTGTTGCTCATGCTTCAGAGTCCGAATAGAGGGTGATGAAGATGACAAAGGATAGAAATGAAGAACAAGGAATAGATGTAAGATTCTAGGTCTAAAAATACTCATAGATGTCACTCTTTAATCATAATCAACAGAATTCATTAAGATGCTACGTCCCCAACGAGTAATGGAACTAGGCGTGAGGTTACTGTAGATCCGCAGTGTACGCAATGGCACGCAGCCGCAGCTGTGCGAAACAATGGCGCCTGCATGCTAGTTGGTTCGCGGTCAGCCGCACGCGAAGAGTGCAATTCCCACGCTAATACAAGCGCGCTATTTTACGACCTGGAGCCAATTTCAAGCCAAACACTCGAAAAGTACCCCTCTTTGAACACCCATAACTTCGTTGAAAGTAAAGCTCTCGGAGAGGGGAAAGTGGGAATGAGTGGAGCTAGGTTGGCTCTTGTTACCTGAGTTTGAGCGATTTCAAAAACATTTCTTTTCTAGGAATTTTTCTCCGTTGTGATCCTCTTGTGATCATGGGGGGCCAACCACAAGTCGCTACGCTTTGGACATCCATGGCAAGCTTCATACACGGCCTTTCGTAAAAAAGAACTGTGCCGGAAGCACGAAGCCTTCTTTCCAGCAAACTTTCATTTTATCCCTAGGCCTGCTATTCGAAAAAATCCCCCGTTGTGATCATAGCGTGATCACCCCCACGACACGAAAAATCAACCCCTCCGAGGCCATGAAACCTCCAGTTGGCTTGACTTTGGTATGCTTCTAAAACGCATGTTTTCGTCAAGTATATCAGGTAATAGTTCATTGGGCTCTAATTGGCATCACCTCTGCAATGCGCCATGCATAGGGCTTTCAGGCAGAGGTGTTGGGAAGGTGCAACTTCTAGATAGGGCTTCCTAAGCGCAAGCACATGTGTTCCTGCGATCAGAAAGGTCTGAAAATGTACTTTCATCTGTTTTTGATCGTCACGTCGTGAGTCCTTTGGTTTATTTATAGATATGGTGCCCTTGTGGGCGGTCATCGTAGCTCCTATCATCGCCCCTTCCTCGTACGTATTGTCAGTATGCTACACCAGCGCCAGAGTGCTGGACGTGCTTGGGACGTACGTAGGTACTGCGACCCCCCCCCCCCCCGCTCGACAGCAAAATTTTGTAAAAAAACCAGAAATTTTTGGGAAAAAATGGGCAAAGTGGTAGGAGGTTGGGAGAATCTAGGAAAGTGGAAGGTAGCATGGGGAGGGGGTCGTACTTGAGGATGGAATTAGGGGGGTCGTATTTTTCAGGAAATGATCACAACGCAATGGCGTGCCCTGACAGGAACGCATCTGGAACGAGTGGTAAAGATGAGCCTAGCAGGGAAAGTCAACAGGTAACTCCGGCCATTTGCAGTGTGATGTACACCGAAATACACGTCTTGAGAGGGTGAGCTCAAACCTTTCTTCAATTCGCTGAACGGCTCTCTAACAAGGGAGGTCGTTCAGGGCGTGGTGAGCTTTTTCAAAATGGTCTTGTGCATATTGTAGGGGCACATACGAGGACCAGAAAACTGAGGTTCATTTTCGCTGCGCGCTTCTACGAATAAAAAAAACGTAAAAAATAGGTCGATGGTTCGGATCCCACCGAGGACAAAATTTTGCTTTTCTACAATTTTTCATTTTTTGGATCCATGTTTGTCTAAATAATTGGTCCTAACAAAAACATTCACGATAAACTGAACAATCCTACTTTTATGGAGCAAAACTGCTTTTTCGTTCGAATTCGTTAGTATGCACAGACTCAGCTCTTCGGCGCTATGCCGGTGCCAGATGGCACTGGAACCGAAAATAAAGTCTAGAATCGTGATCAGGACTGTCGATTACCCCTAGGAGCAAGTTTTGAGCGAAAAAATTTTTTTGACTTTTTCGGGTTGTAGGTGACCGACCATTTGGTCGGCAGTGTGAGCGGAGTCTCACATCTTCGTAACAGCGATGACGTATCGTTGACGCTACGGACACCGGACAACCCAATAAGCAAACCCAAGAAGGTCAAAACAATTGTTTTGACCAAAAATTCGTTTTTAGTGGTAATCAGTGGTCCTGACAAATAATATTCTTGGCGTCCACGCAATCTGGCGACAGAATAGCGCTGAACGTTCCCTATATTGGTGTACATAACGAATTCAGTGGAAAGAAGATGTGGCCCCAAATTGTCTATAATCGCACCACACCAGAATTACTAAATTCGCAATCAGATCCACTGTATAGCCTATGAGGATCAACGTCCAGCAACAATCTTGTTCAATGGTGCGTGAAAATCGAAATAGTTGAATAGCACTGACTCATGAGGTACAGCTACTCAGAATGTGCCCATAAATGGCAAATATCCGAGTTATATTCATGCGCAGACACAAATGGAAGCGAGAACAGCGAAATATATTCATGCGCAGACAGAAATGGAAGCGAGAACAGCGAAATCTAAAAAATGCAAAAAGCCACGACGCAAGGGGAGCCGAACCATCAACCCCACCCTCACTGTCCGATTGCGAAACCTCCACTCTATCCGCTAGGCCATCCGATGCTCGACACTGCTAGCGCTCTTATCGTTGATGAAACCAAAGAAGCCGTTCACCCTTGAGCACATGACCCAAGTTGGAAGCTCACTTGCGGCGATTTTTCGCTTCGATTCAAATAGCCCCTTTATAAGGACCCCCACTCAGCAACTGGTCAAAGTTGCAAGTGACCTACGCCGTAAAGAGGCCCAGAACGAAGCAGATTCCAAAGAACTCGTTTTTTACCGTTCCTGGAAGCGCGCAGCGAAAATGAAGCACACTTTTCAGGTCCTTGCATGAGCCCCTACAATATGCAAAAAACCGTTTTCGAAAAGCGCACCACGCCCTGAACGACCTCCCTTGTAAGTCTTGGAGGATTTTCTCTCCCGCCTTGTATCAATTACCATTCTTTGGGTGAAATTTCTTCGTAGTTATCAGGGAAACGGTGAAGATAATGCCAACGCGTGATCCAGGTGCTATTTCTCAGGGAAAAGTATGGCTAACAAGCTAATTCAGCTCGAAGACCAGTCATGGTGATAGGTACTATGTCACTATTCATCCGTTACTCAACCAACTCCACTTTTTGGAGTTGAGTCAAGGTCTCAACTTTTGCTGGAGTGCCGTTCTCTGGATCTACTTGGCCCCTTGAACATGGATATCACACCCCTTTTGCGCGAAAATGGTTGCGTCGCCCGCTACACGCGCCGGCCCCTTGGAGGTCAGCGTGCCTTCTAGAGAAAACAGTGAGGAAGACCTCCGTAACTCCATTTCCGTTCAGCAAATTCCAGAAGCAGATTTGAGTTGACCGTGTCAAGGGGGAGGGGTGGGTATGCACCTCACTGCATATGGTCGGACTGACGTGCTGACTTTCCCTGGTTAGTCCAGTCAACCGAAACCACTTTGAAATAGTGGAGTTCCTTCTACGGAATTCGGAAAGGAGGATTCAGTATCACCTCATAAGTTGAAGACGACGCAGCAGCGGCATCGAGACAGTCTTCCTGACTTCATCAGTGCTCAAGGCTGATCCTACAAAAAACCATACCTGTTTAGAGAAAAGATTTATGCCATGTGGTCCTAATCAGAGAGCAAGGCCTACTGCACATAAAATGCTTGATCAATTTAATCTATAGAAGAATGTACTGGATTCTTGATAGAAAACCTCTCAGAGGCCCTTTTGCTACGCTGGACGATCTCCATCTTCTCGCTTGTGAGTGTTTTCGCGTTCAAGGAAAAAAATCTGTTGATGTTAACACGCCTTATGCAGCAGCATTTTGTCGATTTTTCGCTGGAAAGCGTTTCTTCAGTATGTTGTGCCTATAACTTCTGAGTAAATTTCTAGCTTTTAATCACGCTTTTTTTTGTCTGCAGAGGTATGGTGTTGCAGGGTTAGAACGTATCAATGCAAAAAAGGTGTGAAATTGGTGCATGAAACGTATCATTTCCAGGATATGGCCAAACGTCGACAGTGCCGGGTATTTTCCGAGTTGGATGAAGCTCTTCTTTATGTGGCAAAAATTTCGTTTAAGGGCCTATGAGGTCCACTTTATAAATAATTTGTTATGGAAGCCAGCTGAATATTGCTCGAGTGGAAAGCGTTTATGCTCATTTTTATCCTGTCTGTTAGAATAGGATAGGATTAAGAAATCGCGTTTTCTGAGACATGTTAGGTTTTCTAATTTTCTCTTATCTCAAGTGCATGTCTTTGACCGTGCTTTGTTAAGTTATACCTACCTGAAGCATCTCCCCAGTGTATTGATTCTGAGTTTACTGTAAGTTCAGTTGCTACGGTTTCAACACGTGACTGTTGCTATTGAACTGGCAAAGAAAGGGTACCAACCCCACGGAAAGGTGAGATCTATACTTTCATATGCGCCATCGGAGACATACTCGAACAAACACTGAAAACAAATTCTCAACTACACGTGTGAGTTCTACCACTATTAAGGTCAGTCCTGGGTGAATGATAACCGGTATAACCACACCTAATAGTCCAAGACCTCACT